CTAAATAACATGTCACTAAACAATGAACGGGTTAACAATGAGCTCAAGGAAGAAATCAAAAGATACCTTGAAATAAATGAAAATGAGAAGATAACTCCCCAAAATATATGGGACACAGCAACAGCAGTCCTAAGAGGGAAACAAAATGAAGGATGAAAATCACATGATCATATCAACAGATGCAGAAAAAGCATTTGATAAAAATCTAGCACCCATTTATGATAAACTCTCTCAGCACAGTGGGAAGACAGGGAACATACCTCAACATAATAAAGGCAATATATGACAAACCCACAGCCAACATCAATGGGCAAAAATGAAAAGTGTTTCCCTTAAGATCAGGAACAAGACAGAGATGTCCACTTTCACCACCCTTATTTAACATAGTACTGGAAGCCCTGGCCACAGCCATCAGACAGAAAGAAAACATAAAAGGCATCCAAATTTGAAAGGAGAAAGTAAAACTGCCATTATTTGTAGATGACATGATATTATATAGAGAGAACCCTAATGATTCCACCAAAAAACTACTGGAACTGATAAATTCAGTAAAGTAGCAGGATACAAAATAAATACCAGAAATTGGTTGCATTTTTATACAACAATAATGAACATTTAGAAAGGGAAACTAAGAAAATAATCACCTAAGAAAATAAATTTAAAAAAACACACCTTAGAATAATTTAACCAAGGATATAAAACACTTTTACTTGGAAAATTATAAGACACTGAAGAAATAAATTGAAATAGATACAAATATGTGGAAGCATATACCATGTACATGGATAGGAAGAATTAACATAATTAAAATGTCCATATTACCCAAAGCAATCTATAGATCCAATGTAATTCCTATCAAGATACCAATGGTGTATTTCACAGAACTAGAACAAATATTCCAAAAACTTATACGGAACCACAAAAGACCCTAAATAGCCACAGCAATCTTGAGAAAGAAGAACAAAGTTGGAGTAATCATGCTGTGATACTGAGCTATACAAGGCCATAGTAATCAAAACTATGGTACTAGCATAAAAACATACATATGAATCAATGGAACAGAATAGAGAGCCCAGAAAAACTCTCAAATCTTTATGGTTAATTAATATTCAACAAAGAAGGCAAAAATATACAATAGGGTAAAGACAGTCTATTAAACAAATGGTGTTTGGAAAATTGGACAGATACGCTCAAAAAAATGAAACTAGACCACCTTCTTACACCACACACAAGAATAAACTCAAAAAGGATTAAAGAATTATATGTAAGACTCGAAATCATAAAAACCCTAGTAGAAAACACAGGCAGTAAAATCTTGGACATTTCTTGTAGCAACAATTTTTCTGATATGTTTCTTCGAGTAAGGGAAACAAAAGAAAAAATAAGCAAATGGGACTACATCAAACTAAAAAGCTTTTGCACAGCAAAGGAAACCATCAACAAAATGAAAAGACAACACACTGAATGGAAAAACATATTTACCGATATATCTGATAAGGGGTTAATACCCAAATATAAAGAACTTACACAACTCAGATCAAAAAAAACAAACAATCCAATTAAAGCATGGGCAAAGGACCTGAATAGACACTTCTCCAAAAAGGACATACAGATGGCCAATAGACATATGAAAAGATGCTCAACATCACTAATCATCAATGAAATGCAAGTTAAAACCACAGTGAAATATCCCATCACACCTGTCAGAATGACCATCAGTAAGAAATCAACAAACAAGTGTTGGGGAGAATGTGGAGGAAAGAGAACCGTCATGCACTGTTGGTAGCAATGCAAACTGCTGCAGCCACTGTGGAAAGCAGTGTGAGGTTACCTCAAAAATTGAAAATGGAACTGCCTTATGACCCAGCGATTCCACTTCTGGGAATATATCCAAAGAAACCTGAAACACAAATTGGAAGGAATATATGCACCCCTATGTTCATTTAACCATTACTTATAATAGCCAAGATTTGGAAGCAGCCCAAGTGCCCATCAGTAGATGAGTGGATAAAAAAGCTGTGGGACATTTACACAATGGAATACTACTCAACAGTAAAAAAAAAGAAAGAAACCATACCTTTTTCGACAACATGGATGACCTGGAGAGTATTATGCTAAGTGAATTAAGCCAGTCAGAGAAAAACAAATACCATATGAACTCACTTATATGTGGAATCTAATGAACAAAATAAACAAACAAAATAGTAGAAACAGTCTCCTAGATACAGAAAACAGACTGACAGCTGTTAGAGAGGAGGGGAGGTTCTGGGCGGGGTGAAAAAGGGAAGGGCGGGGTGAGAAAGGGAAGGGATTAAGCCAAAAAAACAAAACCTCATAGACGCAGACAACAGTGTGGTGATACCCAGAGGTAAGGGGTGGGGGAAGGTAGAAGAGGGTGAAGGGGGAGATAAATGGTGACGGAAGGAGACTTGACTTTGGGTAGTGAACCACAATACAATGATGTGTATTGTGTAATACAGATGATGTGTTAGAGAATTGTACACTTGAAACCTATATAATTTTATTAACCAATAAATGCAATAACAATTAAAAAGTTTTAAAAAGGTTTAAAATAATAATAGTGATAATTCCTCCCCTCCCCAACACACACCAGTTTCTGATTTAATTGACCTAGGAACGCATCCAAGCATGGATATTTTAAACACTCTCCAGGGGATTTTAATATGCATTAATATCTACAGATTTAGACTGAGGGTTAAAAACAAATGCAGCCAGGGCCCAGGTAGGCACAATAAATGAGCAAAGCAGATAGGCATAAGCAACTGGAGAGCATGTATCTCATCTATTTCAGTAGGAAAAAGCTTTTGATTTTTTTATTCAAGAAATTCAAGAGATCCAGATTTTAAAGGAAATTCTGATATTTAGATGTTGGCAACTAATTCCAAACAATTTTAAAAGAAACTGTATGTCACACAAAATACACCCACAGGCTTCATTTGGTTCTATAGCCACCAGTTTGCAACCTAAACAAAACCAGTATAAAGCAAACACAACTTCTTCCCTGTACTCTGTCATGTCTCTCTCCCACTCAGAGCCTCTTCCCTCCATACCTTGGGCCCTAGCCTATCCCTTTCCTTTTGCTTTCCATTGTCTCTTTCTTTCCCAATCTTCTCTGTCACTCCTAAGAGATGGAAACTGAGATCCACACATTAAATCTTTATGTGGCGCTGGCTGTATCACCCACTGGACAGGCTTCTATGCCTGGGGAAATTCAGGTTATAAATTGTAACCTGAGGCTATGGCTCCATGATGTCAACAACTGGTTAGTTTAGTTGAGTCAAGGGAAAAGTCATCATGATTTCACATTACTAAGATTTTATCAAATAACATTTGGAGATCTTCATTTAATTTCTGGTTTTGTTTTGTCTGCTTTTCATTCTAAACCACTGCATACTAGAATTATCCCTGACGCTTGTTGTGCTTGTGTTGTTGTTTTTTTAATTCCCATGTCTGAGCTCTACCCCAGGCCAACTAAATCTGAATCTCTGGAAATGGAGTCTGGGCGTTCATAGCTTTCAAAAGACCCCAGGTAAAACCAATGTGAAGCCAGAGTTGAGAATCACTAATCGAACCCATCTTCTAAACATTAGCAGTGTGTTTAACCTCAGATGATTATCACCATGAATAATTCCTTTAACTTGTTTAAGGATTTTCTAGGTTCTCTTTCCATTGTATCTTCACAACTTTGAATTAGGCAGCTCAGCCACTATTATTAACAACAGACCAATGAGAAATGAGGCATAAAAATGTTAAATGAGCCCGACCAGCGTGGCTCAGTGGTTGAGCGTCAACCTGTGAACTAGGAGGTCACAGTTCCATTCCTGGTCAGGGCACATGCCCAGGTTTCAGGCTTGATCCCCAGTGGGGGGGGGGTG